CTGTGTGAAACCGGTTCCAATAACACCCATTAAATGGCATAAATCGGCTCGAAAACCACGCAGGAAAGAAGAAACACACAACTTAAGCAATGTTAGCCGATTTTTATTTTAATCGAACAATCTCCTTCACACCACTAAAACTATTCAGTCCATATATTTTATTTCGCTTTACATTTTCAATTATATTCCAAAACAAAAAAATACTCAAGGGAAAAGATAAAAATTTCTGAGGCATTCCATCACGCAATCAAAGATCCTAGACCAACAAGGGAAGCCTGCGTTTGACTGCTGCCTGTTCTTGTTGCCAGTCCAGCAATAGCTATAGATAAACGTCAAACGGCAAAAAAAAGCAAAGTCGGCATGTCAGTAGCCATAAACTATAGGGAAAATAAGCGCCATGCGTAAACTGTTTTCATCAAACGTGTAGGTCTTAAGACTCATTTTAAATTGCGAGGTCTGTTTTTTCTAAGCTTTTCTAGGTCTGTGTTTTCTAGACACCCCAGTGCCGATGGTCATATTTCGAGCTTGGGCTACCAAGTCGTTAACGGTCGCCTCTAACGGGTGTTACTAAAACGAAGACCCAAAAACGAAGACCTAAGACCTAAGACCCCATGGACTAAAACGAAGACCCCTTTGACTAAAACGAAGACCCCTTTGACTAAAACGAAGACCCCGTGGACTAAAACGAAGACGCCTTGGACTAAAACGAAGACCCCATGGACTAAAACGAAGACCCCTTGGACTAAAACGAAGACCCCATGGACTAAAACGAAGACCCCTTCGACTAAAACGAAGACCCCATGGACTAAAACGAAAACCCCTTGGACTAAAACGAAAAATGACTCAGATGTTAACCGCTGAGGGCAATGCCCGCTCCCGTAATTTGTTACGGCGATTTGGGAATGTTGTGGAATTTCCTCTGGAGTATTTAGTTGTGATAATCAAGTCTATCACTTACGTTTCCTTCAGGTTTCTTTGAAAATATTTTGCATGTTTTAAACCACTTTGGAAGTGTTTTCGGTGATGAAGGGTCTTCTAGTGTGTCGTGTGGTTATAATGCGCCCTCGGTGAAGACTATGGCGTGACAAGCCTAAAGGTCATCAGCGTGGCCATTTAGTCTAAGGGGTCTTCGTTTTAGTCCATAGGGTCTTCGTTTTAGTCCATGGGGTCTTAGGTCTTAGGTCTTCGTTTTTGGGTCTTCGTTTTAGTAACACCCCCTGTAACGCGTTCAGCACAAAGGTCTCTAGTCATCTGTGGTATGTAAATTACTTTTAATACACCCTTTTTTGAGTGTTTGAAATTGAGTTGAGTGATATTTTGCATATCTTTTGTTGAACTAACAGTCAAAGCGGGTCCTTTCCAATTTTAAGTAAGGTGCAAAATGTTCCGCTCGGCTTTTAAAAGTCGATTTTATGCTTATGTTACGAGTTGTGAGTCGTAAGTCGTCCCGCTTCGCTCCTATTGTAGCCGATTGAGGAAAACGTTCGAAGCGGCGAGGAGCGATGAACGAGGACTGTATTTGCAGGCAAGAATTTGGCCTTGGTCGGTGGAAAGCGCTAGCAAATTGACAAGTGGCGTTAATGCCACGTGAATAATGGAAAAATATACTCTTTGCGTTCTGCTAGTCAGATCTTGTCCCAACGCTGAACCCCACATACGTATACTGATGATTACTGTGTTACTCCTTGCAATTGATCACTTGTACTCCATTGGAGCAACCTATTTAGACGGAAGGAGATCTGCTTTTTATCTAGGTATACAACCAAATACCGGGCTATTCTAAATTCTAAGATAAACTTGGTTTTACTTCGGCTCACTATTCTGGTATTCCATGAACTATTCTTTCTTCTACTGTGCAATGAGAGAACAACTCGCAAGTTCAATGTTACTTACCAAGAGGAGATATCAGGAGAAGGACTGCAAAGCTCGTAAGTACAAACTGTGATGCTGCCATGATATTTCAAGTCAAATAAACACACAACAGCAGACTGGACCTAGGAAGAGGTCAGAATGACTTGAGGAGCTGTTTGCACGTGGTTGTCAATGTGATTCTTTTAGGAACGGAAGAGAAAGTGGGTGTGGTGAGCGGATAACATCCATTCGCCGCAGGGTTCTATATGGAGTTTCCGGCGGCATCACTAAAATATGGAATCTGGAATCCGGAATCCGGAATCACGGAAACGGAAACAGAAACGGAAACGGAGTACGGAATCAAATATCAAGGATAGAAAATTAAAGATTTTCACATTGCATAATTTAGTACAATCCAAAGAGAAGTTGTTTTAGTTTTCTTGGCACTTCCCTTTAATATATTATTGTTATTGTGTCTTGATAGCTATAGGGTTTGCCGTAGTGCGGGTTTAATGTTGCACTGCAAGGCCGATGAAAGTTATTTTACGTGAGTTTGCGTCGACGTCCGTATTTTTGTTGAAGAGGCTTATTAAACATGGCACATTATTTTGATGTAATCAGTTGCGGAATCAACAAAGACATGCACAATTCTCTCTTCTCTTTGGACTCCAGTATACCATGGTTCTCTTGAGAAATAAAATTAAACAGTGTTAAAGACAACCCAGAAAAGACACTCAGGAAAAACTTGACGACGACGCCTTTCAGTTATATAAACGACGCCTCTGTCGATTTAAACCTTTCACTGCCAGAGTCGGTGCTTGGTAGAGTTTTGTGAGGTGACTACCTTTTGAGTCTGTGGACGAAATCCTATGATGTGACTATTCAAATGCAAGCTCTCTGCGTGTACTTACACACGTTGCTATTTGTTTTTCAGAACTTAAAAAGATCAAATTGTGACATTTGGTTGAAATTTGCTTTTGGCTAAATTTGGCAGTGAAAAGGTTGAACGAAGTCTGTCTCCATATAACTTACCTCTTTCTAAAGGAACTAGCTACTGTCAGTGACGTTTTTCTCCAGGCTTTGCTGCCCCATGAGAGTTTGCATTCATTGCCTGAAGTGGTATGAAGAGTCTTTTCACCGGAATCGACTCCTCTAGTGATACAGCAGTCTCTTCTGCCCAAGAAATTTATTCATTTGTCTTTTTTTTAAAAAAACCTGTTTATTATTTCATTTCATTGCTAATATGTTTTTTTTTTCAAATCGATCGCTTGGAACCTTCTTTCACGGATTCCGTATTCCGTTTCCGTTCCCGTTTCCGGATTCCATGTTTTAGTGCTGCCGATTTCGGGCGCCTGAGTGATGGTGGGGGGGGGGGGGGGGGTTTATAAAGGAAGGAAATTTTTTTTTTGCAATTGAGGGGAAAAATTTTTTTTTTTTTTTTTTTGGGGATTTTTTTTTTTGGGGGGAAATTCGGGGAAATTTTTTTTTTTTTTAAAATTTTCTGTGTGAGTTTTTTTTCTTTTCATTGTTTTTTTGTTTTTTTTTTTAAATTCATTGTTTGTAAGCTTCTTTTGTTGTTTTCCGTTTTTTGTTTCTTTCCCTTTTTCGGATTTCGTTTTTTTTTGGGTCGCATTTGGGGGGGCGGGGTTATTGTTGGGGGGGGGGGGGCTTATTAAGAGATGCAAGATTTTTTTTGCACATGTAAGGTAGAAATTTTTTTTTTTTCCTCATTGGGCATATATTTTTTCGGGGCAGAATCCGTAGGAATATATTTTTTTATTAAGAATTTCCTGGGGAAATTTTTCTTCTGCTTTTGCCCCACCCTCCCCCATCACTTTTCTAATGGTCCACGGGTTGATTAAACTTTCACTGTCACGCAATGAAAAAATAACTTTTGGTCTGAGCGGGTCGATTCGGTTTGGGTAAGAATTTTTTTCCCAAACCTCTGGTGATAGAATTATTTTTCCTGACTGCAAACGGTGTAAGATTTTTTCCAGCATTTTATGCCATGAACGATATTTTTTTCAGCTTTGGAATTTTTTCGCCTGTTTTTTTTTCTGAAATCACCCATACCCCCACCCTCCGTTCTGTTTAAAGATTGTATCGATTTGTCATTGACGACATTGATTAGAACCATACCAGCCAAATAAGAATAAGGAAATACCAAAATCAACCAAACACGGTACATATCCTCCGTAATACTGAAACATTTTCACTGTACGGTACATATTCTCCCCAACTCAAATTTACTCAATTCATATTTTCCAAAGATCGACACTTGAACTGCCTAAGACATAGAGCTTTTACTATAACAGGGAAATGACGTCTTGTCTAAAATTTTCATGAATACAATCAAACCATGCTTATACGGACACACACCTCGTGCCTTCAAAAAGCCGGTAACACACTAGAAAATCGCTCATCTAGTATTTCTCGGCTCCGCTGTTAAAACGAGCCGAGTGGAGTGGTAGTCTGAGGAGGGGGGGGGGGTAGGGGGTGACGCCCTTCCACCTCCCCAGTCAGGATGGCACTCTGCTCCACCTACCACTCTCTACCACTCTTTTTTTTTCGTTTTTTCCCCAGCGCGCGGAGCCTGGTCCCAGGTGTACTGTACAGCACAAGTGCAGTAATCTGGGAGATTCCAGAGTTTGGACTGTATCTTCCAGTCTTCAGATTAGAGTCTGATTGGTGGATCCGCCACTGCTATTGCTTTTTTGACGTACTCGTTGCCGTAGCCCTCGTTCTTGCCCCGCCCCGGGGGGTTCTCCAATATGAAAGGGGCGGGGATGCTCGTTGGAAATTTTGAAGTAAACTCCTAAAGGAGACCAATCTGGGCGTGTCCCAACCTTTTTTTGAACCCTAAAAGCGATCATTTTAAACTTTGATTACATGAATCGAGTAAATAAAACGAATTGAAAATATATAATTATTTAATATTTCCGTTTCGAGTGCAACCCTGTAAGAGACCTTTACGGCTGAATCTAATGGTGTTTTGCCCTGAACACCCCTAAGCGAGACGACGAGCATCCCCGCCCCTTTCATATTGGAGTCCCTCCCCCGGTCATTTGTCGATTGTCGATCACGTGACCAACTATTGCGAATATGGTCAGCGGAACACAATACCACGTGACACCGCATCGGCAATCAAGATGGCGGCGAACGGGGTCTTCCTCCGTGTTGCTGTTTTTAGACCAACATCATGGTAAGAAACTGGCTCTTATTCATCGGAAAAACTCAATCTTGGTGGAGATTGATATCCATGTGTCGTCCATGACTCATTTTTTTTCTGTTTTTTCTAGTCCGACAGTAAGGAACATGGCTACGTTGAAAGATAGTAAGTCGATATTTGTCCTTGTACGTACTCAGGTAGCTTTTTTAGCCAGACTATGCCAAGCATATGACACAGTAATGAGAGTCACAGGTGTAGTTTTTAAATGCAACTACATACTACGTTTGCAAATTGAGTGAAATTTTGTAGCCTAGCCAGTACACTTTTATAACTTAATGCGGGAATTATGTCTAAATTAAATAATCATGGCGAAATACTGCACACTAGCAGATACGTTTATGATTGTTTCTCTCCTCTAGGCTAAATAAACTGTGTTTTGCAGATTTTACGTTGTTAAATTCAAAAAGTTTAAATTGCAAGTATTTTGAATGTTCCATTCCTACAAGACATAAGGCCTCTCTAAAATCTATTTGTAATAATAACATTTATTAGTTTCCCTTTCAGTTGTTTAGAAATTTAGTTATTCATTTATTTTTGTTTTTGTACAAGTGCACCTTTTGTTTTACAAATGGGGATGTGGAATTTGCATGCATAATTGCCTACTGATCACGTGATTTCTATCCTGTATGAAATTGTTGACCGTGTGCTTTTCAGCGGCACTGGGTTCACAGTTCAGTTCATTAGACAAGTTTATGATTTACGTGTAGGTTTCTTGTTGTGAGTTCTTCTTTGATATTAGTGTGATGAAGTTCTCCACTTTGAAAATACAGTTGAACCTCGATAAAACAGCAACCCTCAGGGTACTGGAAAGTAGCTGCTTACCCTTTAAGTCCCAGTATCCAACTACAAATTCTCCAAACTGACATCCATACATTCCTTAAAAAATTAGTTGAGAGAATTTTGATTTAAGATCAAAGACTTTTTTTTGTGATCATTTTATTAATTCTCATAGACTTTGCTCTTGACAATCTATGGATTTTGTTAGGAGAAAATTGATGTTGGTCACTATTGGGGCTTAAAGGGTTAATGGGGGTTGGCTGCTCAGTAGAGGTTCATGATAAATTAGCATTCTGTTTAGCAGAAACATGACTTTATTTTGAAGCAAACACACGACGGGAGCAGCTCTATTGGTCTGTGATTAGTTGTCACCTTATATCTCGGACTGTAGTTCCTTCATCTTATTCTTAAAATAAAGCCAGACTAAGTATATCAAGGGCTTAAATGGCTGTTTAGTAGAGGTGTCAACAATGGGAGAACTCTCGTTGGGAAGGCCAAAAGGTGGTTGGAGCTGCATAATAGGGTTTTAGCATATCTAATACCTTAAATTGCTCAAGATTTAACAAATCAAGATTGTCAGACAAGAATGCTGCCACGTATTCAATTAAAAAATATGTTGAGAATTATAATGTGACATTTTTTCACTTTAACAGTCACCTATTAGAAAAATAGTCCCTTCCAAGGCAAAACTAGACATCAGGTGGTTTTTGTTGTTATTTTCCAGCTTTGACATTTCTACAAGACAACTCAACAAAAATTAACATGACTTAAATTAACACAAATTTTCAGGGCAAAGAAAGTCAGTTTTACAGCTTGCCCTTTGGGCAAGCTGTAGCTATCATGCAGTAGCCCAAGGGTCATTCAAACTTGCTCGAAAAAAAAATTGATGAGCAGGATTGATTACAGTCCCAAAAAACTTCACTTGCCTGTTGGGTAAGTTAAGAACAGAATTCAATAGCGCGATAGCAAAATCCACTAGTCCTGAGCTATCAGACAAGTCATCGCTTTCTTTGCACACTGATTTTAAAATTCATGTTTATTTCTTGACGCATTAATTCCCTATAATAAGATAAAATGTAATTTGCACATGGGCTTTAAACTTAAGAGATCATGCATGCTGATTGAACAGTTTTATTTTTTCAGTCTCTTTGCGATTAAGGAGTGTCAAGAATATTCAAAAGATTACTAAGTCTATGAAGATGGTGTCAGCAGCCAAGTTTGGAAAAGCAGAGAGAGAACTTCGACCTGCAAGAGTCTATGGAGCTGGTGCATCAGGTGTGTCACCTGTCTAGCATCAACCCTTTCAATCCCTGGAGAAGTCAGAAGCAAATTTTTATTGTAAAAGATGTTGCATTGGTGGTGTGCCGTTCACCAATAAAATTGTAATCCATTGTTGACTGAAAACCTTAATTGAGGTGATAATCAGTTATGAAAAAAATTTTCCAAAGATTATCCTGAAAAAATGAAAAATATTGTCAACAAATAAGAGTAGAGTGGAACCTCAGTATAACAAAGTCCTCGGTATAATGAACAATTTTCTTTACCCCAGTTAATATATGAAAATGAACCTACAAGTAATGAAACCTCGTTATAGCAAATAAAATTTGTTTGCTATAATCTCTATAGTCCCTTGGCCCTTTGTTATATCGAGGTTCCACTGTATTAATACTTGTACAGGGGGTGTCATCATTTTACTAGACACATACTGCAGCTACATGTATAATCCATTGATGACCCTTTTCTGACACATTTTGTATTGTTTTTTCATGTTCTAAAACACAGTGCTCTGGCCATGCTCAAAATCTATCTGTTGTAAGAAGGGTATTACTGTTGCAGGCCGAGGTTTACCTTACCAAAGTTATAAAAACACAAACTGAATTAGTCAATCACCTGCATTGAAACAATTTTTTTGGAAGAAGGTGTGGGGTGGATTTGGAAAATTGTGTATGTCTCTGAAAACTTTGTAGCTATGCCCCTGCTTGTATTTAACGGTTGACTCTATTAACAAAAATAATGCAATACCACATAGAAGTAATTCACAGAATGAAATTGCGGCTTTCAAAAATTTTTAGAGTTGTTTTTGCATTTTCAGGGATGTCATTCTTAATTTTACCTGTATCACTTGTCTTTAAACTTCATAGTCCATTATAAACTGCTTTGCCTTCTTTTGAGCTAATCTGTACGTTTTATTTTCCAGCTTTGTATGAGAAGGTAGAAATAACCCCAAGTGAGGCAGACAAAACCAAGCCTAACAACTTGATTGTAGTTATGTCATCTGATCGGGGACTTTGCGGTGGTATCCATTCTAATTTGGTGAAAGCTGTCAAGGCTACCTTGGCTGAAAAGGGAGCTGACAATGTGAAAATTGTTTCCTGCGGAGACAAAGCCAGACAACTGTTCCTCAGAACACATGGTAAGAAAAGAAAGTCATTAATGACATTGTCATTCTTTCCTTTTTTTGTTCACTAAAGGGTGAAATCTGCAGGGCGCGCAAAAAATCGCATAGGGCTCGCAAAAAGCCGCATCCGGTAGTCTTGCACAAAACATTGATTTTCCGACTGGGCAATAAAATTTACTTGCCCAATGGGCAAGGTTCCAGGCCAGTCATGTCGTGACTAGCGTAGTGACTTGCGTTACATATTTGTAACTTGCCTTCCAGTGTTGACAGTTTTATCTGAGATTAATTTTTGAACTTTGAACAATAGGACATCTAATATAGTTTAAAAAAGAATGCATGTTTTTTTAGTCATAAGGGAACCAAGATCAGGGTATGAGTGTGCGACATTAAACTGTTTCAATTCAACCAATTGTGAGTTCTTTTGTCGGTGCTACAGATTCCCGACAGTTATCCTCCTACAAAATCATTAAGTGAGACAAGCAAGAAATGGCCTTGGGCAAGCAACATGTGAGAGGTTCTTGCCCAAAGGGCAAGCTGGAATTCAAGTTTTTTTCCAAGCCATGAACTTGTCAGGGTGTAAATTCACAGAATAATAGTAGTTGCTATAATTTCCAGTATCATACCCAAGGCTGTCTTCTATGGAAAATTGAAGGCAGCCAAGTGCTAGCTCTGAACAAGTAAAATCTAGGGTGCCAAGCATATGATTTGTATAAAAAAAACCAAGATTTTCTAGTCACCCAAAAGCAAAAGTTGGGCACCAGGAGTCGCTGGGGCTTTGCTAGAGCACAGCCTTGATACCCACGGTCAATTATTAAAGCAGTGGCTGTTGCTTCTGGTAATAGTGAAGTGCAAGTTAGATAAGGCTGTGTAAAAGGCTTTAAGTACATAAATGATATGTTTTTACCAGTCAGAGCCTTGTCACATTGATCTACCATATTCATGGGCTTAGCCCAGTCAAAATGTTTGCAGTAATGATCATGATAACCAGAGTGACGTACAACAAAGGCCAAACATGTGTGGTCACATCTAATATTTTTTAACTTACTGTTGAGTTGGTGGCAAATAGTCCAGTGGAATCAGCAAAATAGTCAAATGCCAGCTCATTTTGACTGGGCTGCAGCCTGTATTTTTTATCAAAATCAAACAAACTCATTTTAGTGCAGTTGAATAACTAACTTTTTCTCAAGTCTGTTGCCAAAATGAGCATCTTTTTGTATCGTTTTCTTATTTTTTTTCAGCTGACAACCTACTGATGAGTTTTTCTGAGATTGGCAAGAGGCCACCTTTGTTTTGTGAAGCCACGTTCATAGCACAGGAAATCATTGACAGTGGATTTCAGTTTGATTTGGGAGAAATGTACTACAACTGGTTCAAGTAAGTGCTGTAATAATTTTCAGTTCCTTTTTATAGGGAACCTGTTGACTTTTCTAAGACTGAAAATGAAACCATATTTGTTTGGGTGTGGCTGTAGAAAGGACCAATATTTCTTCACATTTGCATTGACATGAATGTCTCATCTTTTAGGTCAGTGGTATCGTACAGAACCAAGACGAAGCCTCTTGTCTCATTTGATTCTCTAAATGCAGCTTCAGGAGGTTAGTTCATTGTGCATGGCTGTGGAGACGAGAAAGCAAGCATACAGTATTTCCTATCATCAAAGACCTTAAAGGGCCTGTGTCACGGCTTGCTAGTCATTTTATTTGTATTACCAGTTACATTTCCTTACTTGCTGTGGAATTTTGAGATAACTTGTTAATAACAAAATCACAACTTGATGTCTAACAAATAGTGCCCAAAAATTATATCAGACATTACGAGCAACAAAGGTGAACTTTGAAAAAACTGTTAGGGTAACAAGTTTTCAAAATCCTCAGTGCAATCCATTACAGATTTTTTCAATTTTTTTTTTCCTTCAAGTTCATTCGTCCAAGTTCCCTTTTGTGTTGGCTGTGTTGCATAGTTATATTTTCTTTTAATGTTTAGAGCTGTTGGTGGCAATAGTCCAGTTTGAAATTAAAAATTACCGCTGAATACAAACATTAAATTTTGGAAAAAGTCTGGGATAAGTCTTGAATACTGGATCCAAAAATCTGTATGAACCCTGAAGGTTTGTGTGTATTTTTTTTCAGAGGTGCTCAGTTCATATGATGACCTGGATTCTGATGTAATTAAGAACTACTCAGAGTTTTCTTTGGCCAGTCTTCTGTATTATGGCATGAAGGAAGGGGCATGCAGTGAACAGAGTTCCCGTATGACAGCTATGGACAGTGCTAGTAAAAATGCTGGTAAGTAAATGCAACTTCTCAGGCAGCAGAATTTTTGTGGGGGGCACAGTGATGTATTGCTTTACACTTGACTAAACAAAGGCGTTAGTCCTGCATGCTGGGCTGTCATTTCCTTTCTGTCATTTTATTTCATTTCCTGTAAATCCTCTTTTAAGCCCTGTCTCTGTTAAGCCCCCCCCCCACCCCTTTTCAGAAAAAGAAAGTTAATAAGCCCACCTCTCCTCCCCCTTATTATTTTTCACTGTCTAATAAATAAAATTATAGCCTGTATAAACAACTGTAAAACTTCATTTGCACTGATCCTTGATGGTTTATTGACGTGTTGGAAGTTCGGATTTGTTTTTGATCCTCAGTTGCATGAACTCCAACTTCTTGTAGTTGAGCTTTTCCACTTGGCATTCCAGGTCTTTATGGAGAACCCATACCACCATCTTCGCTAAATTGAGGGAACTCCCCCCTCTCTAATAAGTCCCCCGTCACTATTAAGCACCCCCCCTCAAATGTGTTTGAACTAAATAAGCCCCCGAAAGAGGATGTACGGTATTCAAGAAACTGATTTTGACAATGAGTTTCACCTCACAGTTGAATAATATTATAAATGCTCTAAAATGACCACTAGTAGCTAAAATTAGCAAAGGAAAAGAGTAAACAAAGAAATCTGGATTAAATGTTAATCTTACATCAGTGTCAACTGATAAAGAAACATGTGGGCCAAGTTTTAGCCTGCCTTGCAGGTGTTCCAGAGTGAAGGGGAAGGGGTAATTTGGGCATACAGAGTGCAACGGGTGTGCAAGGAAGGGGAAGTTCCTTTTTTCCTCCTCCTTGTGTGCCTGGTTTCGCCTTTTCTCTTCCCAGAATGAATGCTTCACTCATTGACTCATTAGCATTAGTTCTGGCACCCAGGGCTGTCATTAAGAGCCGGGGGGTGGGGATTTCCCCCGGCTATTCTGAACATGGTCCCCTGCCACTTTCATTAGAAAATAGAAGAAGAATAGAACCAAAAGAAGTCCGTAGCTGTTTGATTCCCCTCCTACTTGTTCTATTTACCCTGCTACTGACAGCCCTGTCAGACACCAGTTAACCTCAGCATCTGTAGTGGGCCTCATTGTGATTCACTTATGTTTATCAACCGTGGCTTCGTTTACAGGTGAAATGATTGACAAGTTGACCCTCACATACAACCGAACTCGTCAAGCTGTCATTACAAAGGAGTTGATTGAGATTATTTCAGGAGCTGCTGCTCTGGACTAGACAGTTTGAACTTTTTATTGTAAACTTTAGTGGATCATTTGGTGTTTGTAACATTTGAAAGGAAATAAACAGCTCTTTCAGGAAGCTAATGAGTTCTCTCTCTCCCCTGCATAGGTTTCCATTGGGTTTTCAGAAAATGAAACAGAAGAAATTGAATAAGAGGAATATGGGAAGAGGGAAAAGTCTCTTTCCTTCATCTCCCGCGCGTGTTTTCGTTGTTTGCGTCGTGGGTTGTCGTAAGTTAGGAGTTGTGAAAATTTACCCCTAACATGGATTCACTCCGAATACAAACATGAGCTTTTGCGTCTCTGTATGGTGGCCAATTTATTTTGTTTCACTCCCCCACCGGCCACACCAGTTTCTTTTAGTCTATGTGACAGGCGCATAAGAGATAAGAGGCGTGAGATAAGTGATGCACCCGAGAGAGGTGGAAAAGCGAAAAGAGGTACAGTAGCTTCCTTCTCTCACGCGCGCCCTATATTCTCGATCTCGCAATCAGTACCCGCGCCGCTCATATTCGCTTTCTACTCAGGGTAAGTCTTCCTTATACATTAGCCCCTTTATTCCTAACATATAACGTCTGGTTCCTTATGATCTTTGTGTTCGTACTAATGGCAAAAGAGGAGAATTTTTGTCACTGCAATTGTGGCTTATTATCGAGAAGGCCCGATACCAGGCCAGAACGGCCGCGACTGTCTGGAACTGGTCTGGTAAAACATTGTCCCCAGGGGTTCTCCTCCTCGTTCGTGACTTTTAATTTTGTTCGCGCCATTTTTTCCCGCCCGTATAGACTTTCCCTTACCCCCACAATCTGCCCCTGGGTCTCCGAGGATGCAATGGAACCAAACCCGAAAACAACAGAGTTGCAATTCATAGGGGTCCAATCAAAATTAGAGGTTCGGAAGATCTGCATGGCTTACTGTCTCCCACTTCCGCTTCCGTCTACGGTGGATCTCAGTTCATTTTTCTCCCAAGTTTCAGTCTTTCGCCCCAAATTTAGCCCAGGCGATTTGAGAAAGATACAAGCGAGGTTAATGATCAGTAAAAAGGGAAGTCCGAGGTATCAGTGTTGGGTTTGGGGGCCCCAATTTTTGCGGGTTCTAGTTTTTGGAATTTTGCTGATTTTTTAATGATCCGCAAAAAAACAGTTCTGGCATAGAATTCCCTGCTAGCAGAGGTGTCTCACGGCGAAAACTTTCGCAAAACGTTTATCCACAAGCTTAGCTCTACGTTCGGAAAAAAAAAATTATAAAAATAAAGTTTGTGGATGATAAAAAGGGTTTTTTAATACAGAAACAGGCTCCTGACAGAAAACAACATCAACGAAAAATCCAACGTCTATAAAAGTGAAGAAAAAAGGATGGGAGGCCTGTGGCTATTCGTACCTAGACCCCTCGCAATCTGCGCATGAGAGAAATTTTCAAAATGGCTGTCTCGTTGATGGATTGAAAATATAATTATTTATGTTAGGTTTTCCTCAAATTATGAAATGTACAGATCATTATATGATTACACAGGGAAAGATAAAGGAGTTCTTCCTCTCCGTGTAGGAGAAAAGTTTCGTTTTATCGATTATAGGGAACCTGTTGACTTTTCTAAGACTGAAAATGAAACCATATTTGTTTGGGTGTGGCTGTAGAAAGGACCAATATTTCTTCACATTTGCATTGACATGAATGTCTCATCTTTTAGGTCAGTGGTATCTTACAGAACCAAGACGAAGCCTCTTGTCTCATTTGATTCTCTTAATGCGGCTTCAGGAGGTTAGTTCAGTGTGCCTCGCTGTAGAGACAAGAGAAAGCAAGCATACAGTATTTCCTGCCCATTGCTATCATCAAAGACCTTAAAGGGCCTGTGTCATGGCTTGTAGTCATTTTATTTCTAATACCAGTTACATTTTCTTACTTGCCGTGGAATTTTGAGATCACTTGTTAATAACAAAATCACAACTTGATGTCTAACAAATAATGCCGAAAAATTATATCAGACATTACAAGCAACAGAAGTGAACTTTGAAAAAACTGTAAGGGTAACAAGTTTTTAAAAACCTCAGTGCAATCCGTTTCAGATTTTTTCAATTTTTTTTTTCCTTCAAGTTCATTCATCGAAGCTCCCTTTTGTGTTTTCTGTGCTGCTTAAAATTATTTTCTTTTTTATGTTTAGAGCTGTTGGTGGCAATAGTCCAGTTTGGAATTAAAAATCACCACTGAATACAAACATTAAATTTTGGAAAAAGTCTGGGAAAAGTCTTGAATGCTGGATCCAAAAATCTGTATGAACCCTGAAGTTGTGTGTGTGTGTTTTTTTCAGAGGTGCTCAGTTCATATGATGACCTGGATTCTGATGTAATTAAGAACTACTCAGAGTTTTCTTTGGCCAGTCTCCTGTATTATGGCATGAAGGAAGGGGCTTGCAGTGAACAGAGTTCCCGTATGACAGCTATGGACAGTGCTAGTAAAAATGCTGGTAAGTAAATTCAACTTCTCAGGCAGCAGAATTTTTGTGGGGGGCACAGTGATGTAGTGCTTTACACTTGACTAAACAAAGGCATTAGTCCTGGATGCTGGGCTGTCATTTCCTTTCTGTCATTTTATTTCATTTCCTGTAAATCCTCTTTTAAGCCCTGTCTCTGTTAAGCCCCCCCCCCCTTTTCAGGAAAAGAAAGTTAATAAGCCCACCTCTCCTCCCCCTTATTATTTTTCACTAATAAATAAAATTATAGACTGTATAAACAACTGTAAAACTTCCTTTGCACTGATCTGGGATGGTTTATTGAAGTGTTGGAAGTTCGGATTTGTTTTTGATCCTCAGTTGCATGACCTCCAACTTCTTGTAGTTGAGCTTTTCCACTTGAAACCCATACCACCATCTTAGCTAAATAAATATTAAAGGAGCCCCCCTCTCTAATAATAAGTCTCTAATAAGTCTTTCGTCTCTATTTAGCCGCCCCTCCCCCCCCTCAAATGTGTTTGAAATTAATAAGGCCCTCAAAGACGATGTACGGTATTCAAGAAACTGATTTTGACAATGAGTTTCACCTCACAGTTGAATAATATTATAAATGCTCTAAAATGACCACTAGTAGCTAAAATTAGCAAAGGAAAAGAGGAAACAAAGAAATCTGGATTAAATGTTAATCTTACATCAGTGTCAACTGATAAAGAAAGATGTGGGCCAAGTTTTAGCCTGCCTGGCAGGTGTTCCAAAGTGAAGGGGAAGGGGTAATTTGGGCACACAGAGTGCAACGGGTGTGCAAGAAAGGGGAAGTTCCTTTTTTCCTCCTCCTTGTGTGCTTGGTTTCCCCTTTCCCTTCCCAGAATGAATGCTTCACTCATTGACTCATTAGCATTAGTTCTGGCACCCAGGGCTGTCATTAAGAGCCGGGGGGTGGGGATTTCCCCCGGCTATTCTGAACATGGTCCCCTGCCACTTTCGTTAGAAAATAGAAGAAAAATAGAACCAAAAGAAGTCCTTAGCTGTTTGATTCCCTGCAACTTGTTGTATTTACCCTGCTACTGACAGCCCTGTCAGACACCAGTCAACCTCAGCATCTATAGTAGGCCTCATTGTGATTCACTTATGTTTATCAACTGTGGCTTCGTTTACAGGTGAAATGATTGACAAGTTGACCCTCACATATAACCGAACTCGTCAAGCTGTCATTACTAAGGAGTTGATTGAGATTATTTCAGGAGCTGCTGCTCTGGACTAGACAGTTTGAACTTTTTATTGTAAACTTTAGTTGATCAGTTGGTGTTTGTAACATTTGAAAGGAAATAAACAGCTCTTTCAGGAAGCTAATGAGTTCTCTCTCTCCTCCGCATAGGTTTCCACTGGGTTTTCAGAAAATGAAACAGAAAAGAAACATGAAACATGAAAGTCTCTTTCCATCATCTCCCACGCGTGTTTTCTTTGTTTGCGTCGTGGGCTGTCGTAAGTTAGGAGTTGTGAAATTTACCCCTAACATGGATTCACTCCGAATACAAACAAGAGCTTCTGCGTCTCTATATGGTGGCCAATTTACTTTGTTGCACTCCCCCCACCGGCCACACCAGTTTCTTTTAGTCTGCGTGACAAGGGGCAAGAGACAAGGGGCGTGACAGAAGAGGTACAATAGCTTCCTCCTCTCTCACGCGCGCCCTATTTTCTCGATCTTACAATCAGTACCCGCGCCGCTCTTAGCCCCTTTATTCCTTATGTATAACGTCTGGTTCCATCTGATATTTTGTTCATACTGATGGCAAACGAGCAGAATTTTCTCACTGCAAGTGTGGCTTATTATCGAGAAGGCCCGATTCCAGGCCCGGACGGCCGCGACGGTCTGGAACTGGTCTGGTAAAACATTGTCCCCAGGGACTCTCCTCCTCGTTCTTTACTTTTCTTCGCGCCCTTTTTTCCGCCCGTTTAGCAACCTCGTCCCCAGGGCTGTTGCCCGTTTAGACTTTCCCTTGCCCCCACAATCTGCCCCTGGGTCTCCAAGGATGCAATGGAACCAAACCCGAAAACAACAGAGTTGCAACCCATAGGGGTCCAATCAAAATTAGAGGTTCGGGAGATCTGCATGGCTACTGTCTCCCACTTCCGCTTCCGTCTACGGTGGATCTCAGTTCATTTTTCTCCCAAGTTTCAGTATTTCGCCGAAAATTCAGCCCAGGCGATTTGAGAAAGATACAAGCGAGGTTAATGATCAGTGAAAAGGGAAGTCCGAGGTATCAGTGTTGGGTTTGGGGGCCCGAATTTTTGCGGGCTTAAGTTTTTGGAATTTTGCTGCTTTTTTAATGATCCGCTAAAAACAGTTCTGGCATAGAATTCCCCGCTAGCAGAGGTGTCTCACGGCGAAAACTTTCGCAAAACGTTTATCCACAAGCTTAGCTCCATGTTCGAGAAAACATAATTATAAAAATAAAGTTTGTGGATGATAAAAAGAGGTTTTTAATACAGAAACAGGCTCCTGACAGAAAACAACATCAACGAAAAGTCCAACGGTGTATGACATTTGCAGACTGCAGACTGGAGACCGCAGACCGCAGACCGCAGACCGCAGACCGCAGACCGCAGACCGCAGACCGCAGACCGCAGACCGCAGACCGCAGACCGCAGACCGCAGACCGCAGACCGCAGACCGCAGACCGCAGACTGCAGACTGCAGACTGCATGAGGCAGGAAGACTGTAAATTGAATGAAACCAAAAATATCGTAATAATAGACTGCGAGCAGTCTCTCTTTTTCTTCAGATTTAGTGGGAGCAATGCACGCGCGCGGGAGCGGCGAAGCCGCGAGACGCGCATGGCCATTTGTGTGTCTAGCGTTTTGCTCGACGGACTACAGAAAAAAGAGAGACTGCTCGTAGTCTATCGTAATAAAGGTGGCGTCATCATCAATATTACCTTGTTCTGTAAAGAAAGGCCTAGAAGCGAAGTTTACATTTTTCACGCAAATTATACCGACCTCATTCCTAAAGGAGCTGTTGGCTGCTCTTTTCGTATTGAATTAGAGCAGAATAATGTCTGCCGATGTCACGAACTTGCTCATGAATCCATAGCAACAGTCTAGCAATTTAGCCTGCACCACAGACGAAACTAAACTATAAGTCTGTCTGTGAAACAGCGCCGGAATCTCTATTCTACGAGGGCCCCACCTGTGTACGAGGACATCAGTATGAGCAATGATTTGCCTATTTAGAAATTCAAAATGCACTTCTGGTAATTCGTCGAGTCCATGCAGATAGGATCTGTTCGTTTTCGATTATTTGGCATATCCCTAAATACTGCTAAGATGAAATACGTCATTCAAAAGGTGTTAAATGTCCTTGATCTATTCTACGAAGCGGCTCGCAATCTAAAAACCTTTTTTTAACAGAAGACTACTATTTAGACAGGCATTAATGGGCATTGCTACTTGTCATTATCAATTCACGATAATCAAAGAAGAATAAAGAATCAACGCAATTAGTGATATGCCGGATGAGTTGATAAAGGGTCGGTGAAGAATAGCCAACAGCATTTTGGGAATGAGGCCAATATAACTTTGCACAAAAATATCAACATTGTTCCCAAGGCTACTTTCTCACTTTCACACGATTTTATATTTTTGAAGACGTCACCTTTATTAGGAAGATTTTTGGTGTCATTTAATTTACAATCTGCAATCTGCAGTCTGCAGTCTGCAGTCTGCAGTCTGCAGTCTGCGGTCTGCGGTCTGCAGCCTGCAGTCTGCAGTCTGCAGTCTGCAGTCTGCGGTCTGCAGTCTGCAAATACACCGAAAATCCAACGGCTATAAAAGTGAAGAAAAAAGGATGGGAGACCTGTGGTTATTCGTACCTAGACCCCTCGCAATCTGCGCATGAGAGAAATTTTCAAAATGGCTGTCTCCTTGATGGATTGAAGATATAATTATTTATGTTAGGTTTTCCTCAAATTATGAAATGTACAGATCATTATATGATTACACAGGGAAAGATAAAGGAGTTCTTCCTCTCCGTGTAGGAGAAAAGTTTCGTTTTATCGAGCAACATGATGTTAACTGGTGGAAAATGCGATCTCAAAACGGGTCCGTTGGACTTGTGCCTGCTTGTTACTTGGAAGCTGTTGACAGGGTATCGGTAAGACGAACGCCTTTCTGATATCTTGCTTGTGTCATTGTGAAGTGAATTGTTTGTTGACGAAAATTCACTATTCAGTTTTTCCGGCATTTTTACTTATTTGGTTATGTCGTGGAGAATTTAAATTTTAGTTTTTTAATACGTCACTGCTTGCGTTTCTTAAGACTTGCCTTGCAATTTATTTCACTGCTTTAAGACAGTTTTGAAACAAAATATTTGGCAAGATTTCCGCACAGACCCGTTAATTTGTTATACATGCAGCGATTTCATACTAGTTCCAAAATAGTTTGTATGAATGGAGCCGACGCGAAGCATGCATGGATATTGGGCTGTATATAGAAATCTTGTCAAATTAATTTATAAAATAACTAAGATAGTATGCGTGCTCTGATTGGCTCCGAGAAGCATTTTTGCATGAGAGTATGTAAACACAGTAGTGAAGTCAAGATGTTTTGCTGTTTGCCGTGTAGGAACCTGCTCATTTACTGGGGGTTTGGGAATAAAAATTAATGGAAGGTCCCTACCTAATCAAGTTACAAGTAACTGGGTCCTGATTAGCCTGTGAACTATTGTGGAGTGTTGGACAAAAAAGCTAGAACGTGGGCAGATAGGGAAAAATTTGCATTCTTCACTGCCCTCCTTTGGGAGGCTTTCCACAGGCAAGTTCCTGTTTGAATAAGAGAAACATAATAATTAAAAACCTGTGTACCAGAACTTAGTTAATGGGGAAAGAATTTATGCTATATGTGTATGTAGACTCATTTCGTTTTGTTTGTTTGTTTTTTTTTTTCAAATTTGGTTTTTCGTACACCTTATAGGCTAACCCAAGTGAACAAAAATCAGTTCTTGAATCTATCGATAGAGCCATTGAAGTTATTCACTCTCAAGCCACTCATGCAGGTGGTGCGTACACGCATGAACAAAGAGCAAATTTGAGGTTTGTAATTATGAAGTAGTTCTTTTTTATCAATGTATATTATAGATGATGAGTTTCTTGGCTTTGGGGTTTTTTCAAGTGGTCCATCAGTTTGTGTATCATCCACCACTTTAACCTTTTAATACAAGTATTAAAAAATAAAGAAAAATTGAAATGTACTGTTATAAAGTAACTTTTCATTCATGTAACAAGAAAAGCATGCAAAGACAGTAGTTTCCAATAGCCTGAGGCTAGTTTATTTTGTGATTGGGCTGATGAATTCTCTGTTAAATTGCCCAATGGGCAAGTGAAGTTTCTTTGCGGAATTCAAATTATAGAAGTACTGTAAGACAAATAATAATTTGTTCAAATTCCTAATAAATTCATGTGGATTGGAAGCTGTTTTTTAAGCTGATCTGACAAAGTGAAAATATTGCAATGATTACTTATTACAATGAATTAATGAAGCAAATAATTAGCAGTTAGCAATTAATTTATTCATATTATAAATCCTGCTCATCAAATTTTTCTTCCAGCTAGTCATAATGACTGATCTCTGGCTAGCACGGGCTAGCTAAAATTGACTGCTAAAACCGCTGTAAAACTNCATGAACAAAGAGCAAATTTGAGGTTTGTAATTATGAAGTAGTTCTTTTTTATCAATGTATATTATAGATGATGAGTTTCTTGGCTTTGGGGTTTTTTCAAGTGGTCCATCAGTTTGTGTATTATCCACCACTTTAACCTTTTAATACAAGTATTAAAAAATAAAGAAAAATTGAAATGTACTGTTATAAAGTAACTTTTCATTCATGTAACAAGAAAAGCATGCAAAGACAGTAGTTTCCAATAGCCTGAGGCTAGTTTATTTTGTGATTGGGCTGATGAATTCTCTCTTAACTTGCCCAATGGGCAAGTGAAGCTTCTTTGCGGAATTCAAGTTATAGAAGTACTGTAAGACAAATAATAATTTGTTCAAATTCCTAATAAATTCATGTGGATTGGAAGCTGTTTTTTAAGCTGATCTGACAAAGTGAAAATATTGCAATGATTACTTATTACAATGAATTAATGAAGCAAATAATTAGCAATTAATTTATTCATATTATAAATCCTGCTCATCAAATTTTTCTTCCAGCTAGTCAAAATGACTGATCTCTGGCTAGCACGGGCTAGCTAAAATTGACTGCTAAAACCGCTGTAAAACTGACTTTCTTTTAACCTTGAAGAGTGCACTAATGAAGTGCAGAGTTAGACTGCATTACAAAAGCCCAGATGAGCATTTGTATCTGAAATCCGTTATTATTCTTATGTAATGCAGGAAATTACTAGAACACAGAACGCGTCTTCTCTCGGGGAAAGAATCAAGGGCTTCAGGTGCTCATCATAGTGGAATGAAAAGTAGCAAGCCTGTTGTTACAGAGCATGACCCTCCTGCGCAGCCTCGCCGCCCTGCACCCACCCTACCACCACAGAAAGATAAGAAAGACAAAACCAAGGAATCCACAAAGAGAAGACCGGCTCCTTCAGTTCCTGTATCTAATGCAAACCAAACTGCTACAGAAACAAAAGGTCTGTTTACTAGATAGAAATTAAAGCAGACTCTAATCTTTGCCCTTTTTTTCTTCTGCTTAGTCTATTAATAATGATTTTTAAATGGTTTAATCAAGATAGTCACAGGTAAGAATTGAATTTCTGGCTGACATACATGAACTTTGAAATTTGAATATTAATAATCACTGAAATTACTTCATATTAGGAAATATCTAAGGCTGATATTTTATAGAAGGGTGTTTTGTCTTAAACTTTAGAGGTAATGAGTACTTGACCTATTGTTGGCTAACAACACCCAACATTGTTGGATGTACATGCTGTGTCCATTTGCACACCCTGTTGCATGTTGTTGCAACATTGGGCCAACAATGTTGGGAGTTGTTGTGTCCATTTGCATGTAGCTTAATGACCCTCCCCTCCCCCTTTCGTGGCTGTATAGAACTGACTTGTCCCCAGTCATCTATTATTGTTTGTAGGCAGTTATGGATCTGTCACAGAGACTAGCTTGGCACCTTAGCGTAGTAGGAGAGAGGGGAAAGGAGACCCAAGGTGTCCTGTTTTTCCTGCTCACTACTATGTGACATAGTTGTTAAAGAGAGACGAAACTGACTTCTGTTTTTTTTTTTTGAGAAGTTCAGTTATCTCTTACACTTGAGTCTGCAGACAAGTCTTTAAATGTATCATTTATATCAACATCTTGCTGATCAATATTGTATGTGCACTTATCTTCATGGATTTTCTTAGAAAGCCAGTCTAGTGGTGAAGGTCAATCTGCTTCTTCTGTGCCTCCTGTTCCTCAAAGAAATGACCTGGTACCTGTTAAGGTACGAGCCGGACTTGCTGCCGAGCTGCTAGAATTGCTGAGAATCAAGTGAGTATGTAATAGAAGTCGTTAGTCCTATGACAATATTACTTTAAACATAGGTGAAATACTTCTTTAAAAACTGCATTTTTCTCCAACAGTCTTCAATCAGTGTGACCTTCAATAAGAAATTACATTGAACTTAAGTTTACAATGAATTAGCAGTTTTTTCCCTCTTTTTGTATTCTTAGACAGAAACTTAGTGCTGGCCCTAGTGATTTCCAAGAGAGCTGACTGACAACATTGCAATGAATTTATGTCTTAGGAATGTTTTATGGTTATTGCATGTAAATGAAGTTGTAACATCTAAATTTTCTTATAAGGGTAGTCTTTACAATAGGCCATTAAGTAAGACTTAAGAGCTGGTAAGTTTTACTTAACCAAAGATGTGTGTGTGAAGGCCCAAGTAAAATCTCAAGTTATTTTACATTGCATCTCATTAACGTCAGAAAGTAAACGATTCAAGAAAAGTTTCAAGTGACCTCAAACCACCCTCAAAACTGACTTTGTGGACTTGTGGTTTCTTGAGCTTTGAGAAAGACGAAACATGTCAATCAATCTTTTATTATATTGCGTGGGAAAATAGCCTTAAGTTAACCGAAAGTAAAAAAGAATCTCTTGTGTGTGACCATGCAGCTTTATTTTACTTGAAGTATTTAAAATTTACTTGTCTTGAAATTAATATTTCTTAGCTTATTTAGGCTCTATTGTAAAGACTTCCAATAAGAAGTGACTAAAGTAACAAGGAGTTCTTTAAATTAATACAGTACAGGTTTGAGTTATGACAAGTCTCATGTTGCTGTAGAAACAGTTGTAACACATCTTCAAATTTCCATACCATCAATATCAGATGCTATGACACAGATTTTACAAGATCTTGCGCAGCAGAAGGTCAGTGGAGCTTACAGTTACATAATTAGGATGCTTAAGCAATGGTGATGGTGATGTCAATGTGAAGGGCTAAAAAGCAATTGGTTTAGATTGGCAAAACAACAACTTTGCAGGTGCATTAGCAACTCATTGGAATTCTTGATGAGTTAACTGAACACAAGGAAGATTCACAGCAAAGAACTTGGGCTGTTCATGAAGACGAGGGAATTCTTCACAAGCTGCTTAAGAATTTGTTAAGCATACTGGTCAGTATTTTAACAGAGTAAAAAAAGAACTCAAGGCCCTGCAGGAGGCTACATTGCATAATAAATATTTTTGTAAAAATATTAAAATTCTGCTTTTTCTTGCCCAACATTAAAATGGCATTACCCCACAGGTTCAAATCTGTGCCTTACTTTATAACATGTTTTACTTGACCATGGTTTGTTTTTGTATTTGAACTTGGCTTTTGCTCTATTCGAACTTAATGATTATTAACACTGGCAAATTACTGAATAATATTTGAAAAGTTTTATCTATGAAGACATTGTGTGTGAGAGAATGTGACTCATGGAATAACGATTCAGCATTTGCTCAGATATTTTCAGTGACTCTATTAAGAGGTGTATTTAAAATAAAATTCCATTTTTTTTTCAATAAATTATCGAAGCTAAGGGGAAAGGTTCCAATTTTATGGGAGGTACTAATTCAATGATTTAAATGATATTCACAACTAATGTATTTCGCTAATTTTGTGAATGCCATTTAAATCTTTGAATTAGTTTTCCCCCCTTTAATTGAAACCTTTCCCCTTAGCTGCAATAATTTATTGAAAAAATGTAATAAATTATCCCTTTCAAGAAAGGGCCATGTCAGAAACAGTTTTGCACAACACAAGCAGGATTCTTGGGGTTCTAGATAATGAGTGATTGACCATGTCTATTTCTTTTGTTGTTCTAGCTGGATGCCGACCCCACTGTCTGTCGAGCAGTACTAAGACAAGATGACTATGAATACATCAACATGCTTGTTGTCTATTTTCAAATGGTTAGTTCTTTTAGTTAGGCACCTTCTTTCGTAAATTGAAAAGTAAAACAAAAATTATATAACTTGACTTGTTCAGATAAATAATGTAAAATTTTTGGTGGGGATGCCCTATAGTATTGGTAGTGATAATAATAGTGATAAAGATAATGATTTTTATGATGATTTTGCTGTTAATGAACCCTGCTAGTTTGTCTGAATGGTCTAAATGACTGAAAGTATAGATTTATTTTGGTTAAAAAACATGGGTTCCATCAACTCCATCAGGAGTGTATGTTTTTTTATTCTGCAGGCACGCTCATAGCCTGATTCTCAGATGCCCACGGTCGTTCACGGCCCCTTTGCTTCCCTTGACTTTAGCCAGTAGTGTTTAGAGGAATTTATTGATCCTAGTGAATGACTTACGATGTGAAAAGAGCTGTGCTTTTTGGCTTGGCTTAATCTATATATTACATGTTTTCTTAAAAATTTTTTACCGGAGGTACTTTTTACAGGTCTCCTTTGGTTTAAATACAGGTCATTATGTTACAGATAAGTAGACAGGACTGAAGTGTATCCTAACCCTAAACAGTATAATCCAAAATGTTATGGTAGATTGAGGGGAAACAGTTTGGCTTTGTTAGTTACTTATTGATAAACAGGGGCCTGTAAATTATTGTGGCTGGTAGAATGTGACTTGTTTAAGACTGAAACTTCCTTTCACTTTTATGCCTAGCTTTATCTTTTGAAGTAGAATTCTGACTATTTATCTAGGTATTGCTTTATATTTATGTTTCCAGGAACAAAGGCAGTCACTGCGTGAACAGTTGATTGAAATATTTGGCTGCATGTGTGGTTTGGAGAAAGAAATGTTATCACAACTGTTGTGTTCTGTCTTACCTGCAGAGCTGGCCATAGAGGCTATGAACAAAAAGGAGGGTAAGTAAACAATGATTGTAGCCTGGAAAATGTTCCAGCGACAAGTAGTGACAAGAGATGGCTGTATTTGAAGCTAAGGATCATAACCAAACTTTTAACAGCACGAGGCAAAATGTGTCAGCCCCAAAAGCTAGAATCTTTTAGTAGATGGGGGGTTGAGCATTTTACATTAACCCTTCAAATCATTATTAGTGAGCTTATGCGACAGGATGGCAGAAAGTAGATGATAGCAAAATATTTGCGTGTGACAAATGTGACAAGGCTATTACTTGTGTAATTGTTATGATTTTTTTTAACATTACAACTTGTTTTGGTGTCAAGTTCAGTTTAAAATGGCAAAGATTGGCAGAATATTTTTTCAAGCAAGCATTGCTGTCTTCTCTCCTCTGCCATCCTGTTGCATACATTCATTATGGCCTGACTTAAGTTATATACAAATAAAGTGCAAACTACTAAAATAAATTGGGTATTTCACATGTGAGGTTTTTTGTCTTTTAAGATGCTGTGATGCAGTGTCGCTGTGCTCTGCTGTTGACTATGATCTTTTCCACTGGAGAATCAGTTCCATTTACACTTTATGGTAAGTCAAAATTCTGGAATGTTTGGAAATAAGGGTTTCTCCAAAAGAAATTTGAGAAAGAAGGTAAACGTTGTTGACAAAGAGTGCTGCTACAAAGCCTTATAGTGTCATACATTAAATAAATTATTATCATGGACANTCACTGCGTGAACAGTTGATTGAAATATTTGGCTGCATGTGTGGTTTGGAGAAAGAAATGTTATCACAACTGTTGTGTTCTGTCTTACCTGCAGAGCTGGCCATAGAGGCTATGAACAAAAAGGAGGGTAAGTAAACAATGATTGTAGCCTGGAAAATGTTCCAGCGACAAGTAGTGACAAGAGATGGCTGTATTTGAAGCTAAGGATCATAACCAAACTTTTAACAGCACGAGGCAAAATGTGTCAGCCCCAAAAGCTAGAATCTTTTAGTAGATGGGGGGTTGAGCATTTTACATTAACCCTTCAAATCATTATTAGTGAGCTTATGCGACAGGATGGCAGAAAGTAGATGATAGCAAAATATTTGCGTGTGACAAATGTGACAAGGCTATTACTTGTGTAATTGTTATGATTTTTTTTAACATTACAACTTGTTTTGGTGTCAAGTTCAGTTTAAAATGGCAAAGATTGGCAGAATATTTTTTCAAGCAAGCATTGCTGTCTTCTCTCCTCTGCCATCCTGTTGCATACATTCATTATGGCCTGACTTAAGTTATATACAAATAAAGTGCAAACTACTAAAATAAATTGGGTATTTCACATGTGAGGTTTTTTGTCTTTTAAGATGCTGTGATGCAGTGTCGCTGTGCTCTGCTGTTGACTATGATCTTTTCCACTGGAGAATCAGTTCCATTTACACTTTATGGTAAGTCAAAATTCTGGAATGTTTGGAAATAAGGGTTTCTCCAAAAGAAATTTGAGAAAGAAGGTAAACGTTGTTGACAAAGAGTGCTGCTACAAAGCCTTATAGTGTCATACATTAAATAAATTATTATCATGGACAAGGAAAGTAGTTATTTCATGGCAGCCACTGGCCATCAGTTTTATGTATCGAACCTATGCACTTGTACATTAATGCTACACTGACTTGGAGGTATAAACACAGAAAACGATTTTATGTAATTGTGCACTTTTTTTAGTTCTTGTGTGAAGATGTATTTAAAAGAAACCTGCCTCTGTCAAGAATTCCTCGAAGACAATAGAAAGCCACCACAGTGAATTTGCTTTTTTTGCTAGTAAACTGAAAATTAAGTTTGAGATTTGGATTCATACTTGTGTTTCTATTAGCAGTCGCTAACTGAGGAGTCAGTCCCTCAGTCCTTAGTCCCTTGAGGAGGGAATATTAGTGCAGTTGTTAGTGGGCCGCCTTCTGTGTGGGAGGTCCTGAGTTCGATTCTCAGGTTCAACCTCAAATCCGTCTTTTGACTTCCTTCATTTTTGTGCAGCTTTAAGTAGATTTAAATACCCATAAAACAGAAACTGAAATCCTTGTTCACACTTTAGAACAGTCAACTGGTTGCCTCCTGCCAGTTGGGGCTTTTTAAACCTGTTCCTTTCTATTTTGGTTATATAATAATTATAAAATTTCAAATTATTCGATTGGAGAGCCTGTAAACTAGCTGGATATTTTAAGCTTAGTGCACTTTGCACTATAAACTGAACAAAGCTTTAACCTCTTTTAAAGCTTTTTAAACTTTTTTTAAAATCTGTTCGCAGACCAGATAGATGATTCATTTGTCAATTTCCTTATCGATGCCGTTGAAAATGCAGCAGATGATGAAGAAGGCGAACAGTTAGTAGACACCTTTGTTCCTCTTATCCTGGCTTTTAACCAACACTTTGTAGGTATGAACAATGTGAAATTTATCATCATTTTGACAATGTTCCATGTGGTTATAAAATGAAATAATATTTTAGCTTGACCATTAAAGTCTGTAATATTTTGTGACTTTGGGAAGCTAGCATTTACTCTCTAAAAATACTAACTTACTAAAAGCACTGTTTCCAGCGATGTCGCTTGTTTTTCGGTAATTGGTCCATGTCAAAATTTAAAAACATGAAACGGTCACTGCTATTGTTAGTTGACTACTAGTAATCTCTCATATTTTCTTCAGGGATAACAAATTTCATCGCATTTGACCCCATACTGACCAAGCTAAGGGGTTTGAATATTTAAAAAAAATTCCAGTCTCTGATAAAATTTTTATTCATTTGATAGTTAACGGTTGATTAGCTAATTATCCTGAAAACTAACAAGATCAGTCTTCTTAAGGTTATTGTCTTTAATAAATAATTTATTTCGTTGTTATTTTTTGACAGATGTCAGTAGCAATATTGTGATAAGGGTGTTAGCCTCCCGCAAAACGGCCAAAACTTTGAGTGAAAAAATTATGTTGCTGATTAATAGAGAAGGTTGGTACATGGTAAAAAAAGTACATTTTTTTTTTAATATCCTCTCAAAACCATGAATAATTCCAACAGTCACAGACAAAAAATATTTATATGCAAATTCATGTGAGTTGTATGGCAGTGTGGCCAAGCAGTTAAAGCACTGGAATAAATATATAGTAATCTGGAGGCCCTGAGTTCAAACGTCGCCCTCACCACTACCTTGATTTGTTCTCAGTAGTCCAAAGTTCAACCCCAATCCTCGGTCGCGCTTGTCAGGGGCGTAGCTACCTGTACACATGGTTTGCACTTTTGTACCTCAAAGAGTTGAGAAGAAAAAATCAAATGATATAGTAAAAAAGTGAGTAACTAAANTTAAAAAAAATTCCAGTCTCTGATAAAATTTTTATTCATTTGATAGTTAACGGTTGATTAGCTAATTATCCTGAAAACTAACAAGATCAGTCTTCTTAAGGTTATTGTCTTTAATAAATAATTTATTTCGTTGTTATTTTTTGACAGATGTCAGTAGCAATATTGTGATAAGGGTGTTAGCCTCCCGCAAAACGGCCAAAACTTTGAGTGAAAAAATTATGTTGCTGATTAATAGAGAAGGTTGGTACATGGTAAAAAAAGTACATTTTTTTTTTAATATCCTCTCAAAACCATGAATAATTCCAACAGTCACAGACAAAAAATATTTATATGCAAATTCATGTGAGTTGTATGGCAGTGTGGCCAAGCAGTTAAAGCACTGGAATAAATATATAGTAATCTGGAGGCCCTGAGTTCAAACGTCGCCCTCACCACTACCTTGATTTGTTCTCAGTAGTCCAAAGTTCAACCCCAATCCTCGGTCGCGCTTGTCAGGGGCGTAGCTACCTGTACACATGGTTTGCACTTTTGTACCTCAAAGAGTTGAGAAGAAAAAATCAAATGATATAGTAAAAAAGTGAGTAACTAAATGAAATTCATAAAGGATAATGATTTTAAAAAAAAACAGTTTGCCCCAATTTATTTAAGTCTGCTTGTACTTCGCTAAGTTAAGGATACTTTTTCTAGAACAACAGAATGCTTTTGCCACACTCAAATGTCGGTTTCCAGAGAGGTGACGAGATTCATTGGTGGAATAATCTTAAATTAATGATATGTATAATACCTTGAAACGTTTTGGGGTTTTGAGGTGGGCAGGGGAGGATGGGGAAAATTGTGTGTACCTTTGGGAAAATCCTGGCTATAGGATGTAAATATAGCCATTCAAATGGTTTGCCTCTGGCCAGTTGGGATTCTTAACCTTGAGGGCCAAAATACCTTGTGGGCCAAAATGTAAAAAAATACTGGCTTACCAGTGATTTTTTTACCATATTAACCCATTCACCCCTGAACCATGCTGTGCAGATCCATGTCCCTTGTACTGCTTGTGACGTCATCAGTTTAAAATTCATGGACAACTTTATTATCACTGTTGGTGGTCAACTGCTTGCCCTCCATTGTGTCAGTTCTGTTCAGTTTAAGTCATCACTTTCGTCACATTCATACCGGTAGTTTTTATTTTGCTAAAAACTCATTGTTGTTTTTACAGAGGACCCCACAGCCCTGTTTTCATATCCCAGAGCATGCCCTGACTCTGTGCTGAAGTTTCTAACTGATATCTTTTCTTCACGGGACACTGCTGATTTTTTCTACACCTCTGATATGATGATTCTCCTAGAGATTGTCTTGAGACAACTAACCGATCTTTCTCCAGGGGCAGGGGTGAGTAAAACAATAACTACATTGACATACTGTAATTTGAAGCATTTGCAGATTGTCATGAGATTCTAGGAAACTTCCAACCTACCCCTACCATAACCAAATGCACCAACTTCTCACTTAGGGTAAAATGTTGCATTAGGGGAGAGGTAGGTGGCAGATTCCCAGAATCATACTTATCCAGCTTTGCAAACAATCATGCCAGGCTGTGAGTAAGTTCTCTGTTTAATGTCTTGGAGTTCTTAGACACAAGAGACAAAAGGACTGATACCCCTTAAAATACTATTTAGACTGCTTAATACCTTCACTTTGAAGCATTTACACCTGTCCAACTATAAATTAAAAGAATTTTTTATAAGAAAACTGAATTTGTCAGTGACATCACATTTTTATTTCAAAATAGAGTGATGGTTCTGCTAAAAATTATGCTAATTTAAGACAAACCTCTATTGAGGGGCCAGCCCTTATCAAGCAGCCACTTGCCAATCCCTAGTGTGGCTGCTAAATAGAAATTCAGCTGGTTTTTGTTTGTTTTTGCCTGAATGAGCTTCTGTTTGAGGGCAGAAATACTTTTTCAGATCATCATTATCCCTGTCATCTCCATCGCATCATCATCAGCTTCAGAATCAACATGTTATCCTTTTCTTCATAACCAACCACTTAGCCTGAATTTCATCCGATTACTGTGAGTCGTTATTACTCCGTCAGTAACTGAGGGAGTAATAACGACTCGAAGTATTCAGATGAGATTCAGGCAACCAACCACTGTCATTGTTTTCATCATTATCAGCTAAAATCTGAAATAATTTTATTTAGATGTCTCATGAATTAAAGTGATTTTATGGTCATAATGTATGCATTTTCTCTCTCTCTCTGTAGATGAGAACTGAATATATTTCATTGCTCCACCAAATCCTGCTTAATTCTAATTACAGTGAACACAAACATCAAGCAAAGGAATTGATGATTTGTCTCACAAGAATTAGTGAAGAAGAAGATAAGGAAAGTGAACAGGACAAACTCATCGTACAAGAAATACTAAAAAATTCCTCAAAATATTTTTAACTTACTGTTTCCTTATGACAGGTCTTGTTTGGTGATTTTCTCAATAATTTTATTGAATCCTTTAAGTGCGAGAGCTTAAGCAAAGGCATTTTTTGGGTGATAAATGGCAAC